TGGGAGCTGATTTATACCGTGATACATGATGCTGGCCCTGTCTTCCCCATAGATCAGAACACCTTCCTTGGTAGACCTACACTGTGGCTGAGCAGTGGGTGGGGCAGGGATTCCCATCTCCATTTCACAGATGGGAAAACCAAGGCTGTGTGTGTGGGGGGGATGAGTCACTGGTCGAATCCAGTGATTTCCCAGCATTGTGGCTCTTTCTGCCTTATTATGCTGCCTTCTTGGGATAACGCCCGGGCCAGCCGAGGGGATGCCAGGCAGCTGTCAGGGGCAAGCAAAGTGCTGGGGCTGCCACAGAAAGGACAGGGAGGGCCTCGTCCCTGAGGGAAGCCCAGGGGTCTCAGGGCTCAGAGGCACCCACCCTGGGGTCCCTCCTCAGCTCGGTGGGCCCACAGCCTGCAGACGCTTAGGCTCACTGACTCTGGCTCTTTTCCCTGCAGAAGCCAGTTGGAGTTCTATCAAGGTCACAAGGCTCCAAGATGGCCTGAGCCTAGGCCAGGCAGGGCTCACATCCCTTCGCAGTGCCTGAGGAGGACAAAGGCTTTGGTCACAACGAGATGCAGCCACAGCTGGACCCTGTGAAAGGAGAAGCCTCGCCAATGCAGCCACAGCTGGACCCTGTGAAAGGAGAAGCCTCGCCACTGGGAACGAGGGGCTGGCCAGGCTCTTTCCTTTTCCTTCTCTGGTCTGTGACTCTGGTCCCAGCCCAGCTGCGGCACGCCTGCCCCACGTGCCCCCCTGCAGCCAACCCAAACCTGCTGAGTTGGCACGGGGACTCCTGGTTTTCACTGCCACCCCAGCAGGCAGCACATGCTCACCCCGCACTTCCTCATCCTTTGGCTGCACCCTCCTGAGAGGGGGGGGGGGCTCACTTTACACGCAAAGGGGGTGTCAGGAGGCTGCTGGAGGTTCTGAATCTGAACCTTGAGTGGCCTCTGCTCCCGTGGGGAAAGCCAACAGGATGCTAGTGGGGCCCCAGAGCTGGGATGAGAATGGAAGCCGCCCAGTCCCACAGGGGGCGGAACCTGTACTGGGGGGTACAAGCTGGTCTGGGTTTGTCTCGCAGAAGACAGACTTCCAAGTACTATGGTATTACACCAAATCAAACTAAGACCGAACAGAGTCCCAAGACCTGGATTCTAACCCTAGTTCTGACGTCAACCGGTCAAGTCATGGAAAGTTAACTTCTCCTGGGGCCTGGACTGTAGATTGTGGGGATCAGCCTGGGTCACGCACACATGCTAGCAGACTGGGGTGCTGTTAGGTGCCACTGATCCGGACTCCTAGTGACGGTCCGTACACCAGGATTGTTCCTGTCAGAGCCCCCTGTGGCCCCCGGCCGCCCCTCCATTGGTGCTTGGAAGCAAACTCTAGGCACTTTGGCGCCAATCCACATTCTGCCACTTGGCAGCCAGGCTGAGTGTGGGCAAGCAATGACATTTTCCCACACCCCTGTTTCCTTGTCCAGGGACCACTGAGCTGGTGACTAGAACTCAGGCCTTGAGGCTTTTGCTCAGTCTTGGTTTGGTTCGGTTTGACATGAGGTTGTGCAGAGCATTCCTCAAGATGGTCCAGGAAGAACCCGGTGCGCACTTGGTGTGTATTCGCTGGTTGGCACCAGCCGGGACCCCGCTCTTTTTTATAAAAATAATTTTACTGGGGGCTTGTACAATTCTCATCACAATCCATACATCTACCCATTGTGTCAAGCACATAGGTACATTCGCTGCCCTCATCATTCTCAAAACATTTGCCCTCCACCTCAGCCCTTAATATCAGTCACTCATTTTCGGGACCCCACTCTTCTGACTGTATCTTTTTTTTTTTTAGACAGTTTTATTAGTACTTCATCCACACTCCACGATTCAAATCGTAGCAGGAAGAGCTGTGTGATTGTCACTGTGCTCAATGGTAGAACATTATCTTCTTCCTTGTACTCATTACAAGTCATGACATTACGCAGGTTCTCTAATTGTGGCACACACCTGTACACTACAAAACAACTCTCCTGCTGGTCTAATCCAGTACCCCCGAGGATACCTTTTGTGTTGTACACCCATTACAGATGTCCTTTTCCAAATGATTCCACTGACGTAGACTCCATCCCCCTAAGCAACAACTCTTCCGCCTTCACCCATGGTAACCGTTGGCCCTGCTTGGTTTCTTTCTTTCTTTTTCTTTTTTTTTCCTCCAGTAGTTTGCTTGATGTAGAAATCACATCACACTTCCAGGGTTAAATCGCTTTTAAAATGAGTTGTATGGACACCATCACAATCAGTTCTAATGCTCCCTCCCCACCTGGTCTGAATCTTCTGGAAACTGTGGGTCGGGAAGGGGGTTTGAAATAGACCACGCACCCCCGATACACTGTACTCCCCAGGTTCTTTGAGGGTCCTTCTCAGAGTTTGGCCTCAGGACACTACAGAGGATCTAATTCTGGGGCTCACCTTGGGGTGAGCCAGTTCCCGAGAGGCACACCGGGAAGCACACCTCAGGAACAAAGGGTGGGCCTCCCATTTGGGCACCCCTTTCCTGCCCCCTCAGCAGGCCTCCAAGGGAAAGGAGACTTGGCTGCTTCCCACCAGACAGGCCAGCCGGCAGCTTTTTATGGAAGGAGCTAAGTCAGCATAGTGTACCCTGATGGTCACTGGATCTCAGCTCTCTGTGGGGGCAGCTATCCCATCGGAACAGCCAGTTTCTAAGCCCCTGACCGAGGCCTAGGCTGGTAAAACCGGGGGATGGAAGAAGGGCTTATACTGTGTTCAGATTCTAGTGCAGACAGATGTCCCAGGATTGGGTCTCCTTTCAAGGGAGGGCTCAGCAAATGGAGGGGCCCCAGGCAACGGCAGCTCTCCCTCCGACCAGCTCACGGTGAGTAGCTCCACCGACTCTGCCTTCCCTTTAGGTGAGAGAGGACAGTGTGACTGTCACGTGACTGTCCATACAGGTTTCCTCCACCTCGGAAGCTGAGCATTTCCAGGGCAAGGCCCTTCTCTTGGTCACGTCTGTCTCCTCCCCTGACATGAGACAGAGCCTCAAACACTGTGGAGCCTCAACCACTTTGAGTCCATTCCGACTCACGGGGACCCTGAATAGGGCTTCCGAAACCATGCATCTTTCCGGGAGCACACAGCCGCATCTTTCTCTCGAGAGGTGGCTGGTGGGTTTAAACTCCAGATCTTGCGGTCAGCGGCTCAATGCTTAATCTACAGCGCCCCCCTCCGCCCCCCAGGACTCCTTGGTAGGGTAGACATGTCTGCTGACTTAAACCAAGTGCTTCTTACTCCAAACTCTGTTCTGGGGCATCTCTCATCACTGACAGAGGGGGACGCTGGACACGGTGCCTTAAAAAGGAGTCAGACAGAGCACGCTCAAAAGGCTCACGGCCGTTCTCTCAAAGTGGTGCACCTTCTCTCCCTCTCCCCCTTGGAGGGCCAGGAGCACAGCCCAGAAGTGGGAAAGCGTCTGTTGGGGGGGGGGGGGGCAACACACCAGCTCAGCCTTGCACTTGAGCTGGGCAGGGCCCAGACTGAAGAGAGGTCTGGGTGAGAGAGGGAGAACCGTGGGACAGGAAAGCCCTGCCCTGAAGTGAAAGGCAGAGAGAGAGACGGCTGCCAAGGGAAAGGACTGCCTCCTGGGACCCCAGGAAATTACATAAGGAAGGCGATGCCTGAGGACAACCCCCAGTTCTCAGTCCCCAACCTCCGGTCCCATGACACCACGGCTGGGGGACTCAGCCGCCTTCCCTGTCTGGAGCAATAATGCTGCTTACACAGCAGAAGCTTGGCGCTACTGCTGCCCTTCATCCCGTGTCCGGCCTGGTGGCCTCATTCTGTAGCTGGACTGTCACGCCTGTCCCTTTCTTTCCAGCCTCACCTCATCACGCTGCAGCAGCCCAGTGGTGTCCTTTGCACCAAACTACCTGCCTTTAAACTTTTTTAAAAAATTGTGGGCTGGGGGAATGTTGGCAGAGCAAGTCAGTTTTCCATTCAATAATGTAGACACACTCTGTTTCTTAACAGCACTCTGGCCCTCCCTCCTCGGAGCCCCCATGTCCATTCGTCTCGCTCCTGCCCCCTCCGTCTTTCTGGGCTACTCTCCTCGCTGACCATCAGGGTTAATCATATTGCTTCTCTCCCACCCCACAACCACATCTCTTTAAACCTAACATTTCTCTACTCTGAAGCCCCCCTGCAATTTCAGAATAACATCCTGCATTTGGTGGCGCACGTGACCAGGCAGCCTGGCATGGTGGCTCGTGTAGTGCTGTACCCAAAAGGTCAGCCCCTCCCTCTGAGGGAGAAAGACCAGAGAGCTAAAGTCTCTGGAATTGACAGGGGCAATTCTACCCTGTCCGATGGGTCGCTATGAGTTGAAATGACCAGTTTGAGCTTTACTTCCATTTTGAGCAGCAATCTAGGGGGGGGTCTCGTTCAAGCTTCAAGGCCCATTTCTAACCTCTTCTCCTTCAGGGGCCCAGGGGACCAGGCACCCTCTTCTCCGGCGCCGCAATCATGGGGCTCCCTGCTCACCGGGCCTGCCCTGCACCTACCACAGCTTGTATGCCCAAGTCTGGGAACCTGGGCTCCGGGCCTCAGCTCCGAAAGGGCGGGGCTCAGGGGCGACGCCAGGGTTGGAAGGGGCAGTGGAGAGGAACTGGTCCAACCCTCCGGTTTTAAAAGAAGGAAACTGAGGCGCGGGGACGGGAAGTCACTCGCCGAGATTAATCACGCGGCAACTCAGCAAATCGGCGCTGGGGCTAAAGCCAGCGATCGGGTGTCCCCGCTGGGGACACAGCGCAACTCGCGGGGCCTCGCCTTCTGGGGGGTGGTCGGTCCATAAACCGCATGTACGGACCGGAGAGCGGGTGACGCGAGGAGCCGAGAACCGCGGGAAGCGAGGGGGGCGGGTGCGTGGGGGTCGTCCGCGCGGCAGGCTGCAGCAGGCCTGGCCGGGGGTCCCCCTCCTCCCCGGGCCGGGCCCGGACTCACTTGGCCGAGAGCGTGTTGATGGAGCCGGTGACGAGCATAAGCCCGGCCAGGAACAGCTGGTACTTGGTCCAGGCCATAGCAGCGGCTGCGGGCTTCGCGAAACACCTGGGACCCCGCGACTTCCAGCAGGCAACTCCAGACCGGGTCTCTCGGGGGTCCCCAGCGGGAGCGCTTCCGGGCCGGGGGTCACGTGACCGCGCGCCGGCCCCGCCCCGTGCAGCCTGGCCCCGCCCCGCCCCGCCCCTCGAGGGCGCGCCCGGCTCGGGCTCAGCTCCGCTGTGCCGGGGATCTCGGATCCAGCGCTGGTCCTCTTTGGGCGGCCGACTCTGCCCGTCACAAGTCTATCTGTCCCTGCTTGTAAAAGGGGCTCATGGGACCAGTCCACCGGGCGCGGGCGTTAGAGTGTCTGTGAACCGCTCAGGGATGGCAGTCGGGTGCTGTCGTGTCGGGTACAGCTCATAGCACCCGATGTCAAACAGGAGAACCACGGCCCACCCCTGAGCCATCCTCACAGTCTGGTCACGTCTGATCTCGCTGTTACAGCCTCGGTGTCAGTGCATCGCGCTGAGAATTCTCTCTGCTGACCTGCTTTACCAACCTGTCCTTTACAGGTTATGGACTGTCCTGGTAACCTGTCTTGAGTACATCAGACAAGCGCTCACATCTTCGAAAAAGCATTCTGGCCAGACTTCTTCCAAGATAGACGTGTTTGTTCTCCTGACCAAATAGACAGACAAACAAAAACAAACCAAGCCACTGCCATTGAGTCCATGCTGACTATGAGCCACCCTGTAGGGCTGGGTAGACCTGTCCTGTGGATTTCTGAGATTGTTAACTCTTTTAAAAAAATCATTTTATTGGGGGCTCATACACTCTTATCACAATCCATACATACATCAATTGTGTAAAGCACATTTGTATATTCGTTGTCCTAATCATTCTCAAAACATTTGCTCTCCACGTAAGCCCCTGGCATCAACTCCTCATTTCCATCCCCCCTCCCTCATGAGCCCTTGATAATTTATAGATTATTATTTTGTCATATATTACACTGTCTGACATCTCCCTTCACCCACTTTTCTGTTGTAGATCCTCCAGGGAGGATCTATATGTAGATCCTTGTAATTGCTTCCCCCTTTCCACCCCACCCTGCCTCTACCCTCATGGTATTGCCACTCTCACCACTGGTCCTGTCATACAACTCTTATCACAATCCATACATCCATCTGTGGGAAACAGAAGGATTTCTCCCAAGCTGTCTCCCCCAAATATATGCCAAACTTAGCTGCTTGAGCATGACTGTACACTTGGAGGTCATCAAGAGTAGATCAGGGGTCATTCTCCCTAAGAGCTATCAGCCATCTAGACCAAGCAGACACCACTGTTTATCCCACAACAAGTAGGGCCCACTCCCTTCTGATAAGGAGAGTAGTTGTGTGTTTCCTTATAGGAGACCCCAGAGAGGTCACACCCGCCCAAGGATGACCAAGGTTAGGCTGCCATCATGAATCTAGGGTCTGCCCATCTTGTCACATGTATGCCTCTAGACCTTCCCATTCCTATGGGCACATCCCTAGCTCATCCCCTTCCTGTCACGATTATGCCTATCATACATTCCCTTCCTACGATGTGTATGCCTATTGTACTGCCCCTTCCTGTGACGTGTGGTTACCTGTAACCATGCCTCCGAAGGAGATATAACCTTTGGTTAGCAATAAAGTTGGGGCTCTCTCCTGCTCTTGTGGCCGGGCTCCCCCCACAAGGACCATCAAACGGGGCTGAGGTGAGCATGCTACCATGAATTGTGTCTGACTCCATTAATTCAATCTCTCCTCTATCTCTCATGCTCTCTATGACTTTACTATAATCTTTATTTATTGCTGTACAATTGCACCTACTGGAGCTGTGATGATTTGTTGGGGACCCTCCTTGCCCCACATCCATCCATTGTGTCAAGCACATTTGTACATCTGTTGCCATCATCATTCTCAAAACATTTGCTTTCTGCTTGAGCCCTTGGTATCAGTTCATTTTTTCTTCTCCCTTCCCCCCCTTCCCCCCTGCACCCTGACTGGCTCATCTCCCTGTGACCCTTCTGTAAGGGGATATCCAGTTGCCTACAGATGGGCTTTGGGTCCCCACTCCACACTCCTCCTGATTCACAATGATATGATTTTTTGTTCTTTGATGCCTAATACCTCATCCCTTCGACACCTCATGATCACACAGGCTGGTGTGCTTCTTCCATGTGGGTTTTGTTGCTTCTGAGCTAGATGGCTACTTGTTTACCTTCAAGCCTTTCAGGCCCCAGACACTATATCTTTTGATAGTCAGGCACCATCAGCTTTCTTCACCACATTTGCTTATGCATACATTTGTCTTCAGTGATCGTGTTGGGAAGGAACAAGATTGTGAACATCATGGAATGCCAGTTTAATAGAGCAAAATATTCTTGCATTGAAGGAGTACTTGAGTGGAGGCTCAATGTCCATCTGCTGCCTTAATTCTAAACCTATAAATATATACACGTAGATCTATTTCCTCATCATCATATATAAATATATTTACACGTGTACATACCTGTATTTAGACCTCTATAAAGGCCCTTTGCCTCCTAGTTCTTTCCTCTTTTTCCTTTTATTTTCCTCTTGTTCCACGATCATGCTCAGCCTTCATTTGGGTTTCAGTAATTCCTGTTACATTGCCCTTGATCAAGCCCTATGAGGCCTCTCACGCCCTCCTTGCCACTGATTTTGGATCACTTGTTGTTCCCTTGTCCCTGGGTTTATTAACACCACTCCCTTTCCCCCACCTTCCTCTCTCCCATGTCCTCCCCAGAACCTTTGGTCCCATTGCTTTCTCCTCCAGATTGTTAATCCAGCCTCTTTCATCTAGATAGACCTGCAGACATAATAATATGCACAAAAACAAGACAGAGCAAGACAAAACAACAAAACACAACACAACAACAACAACAAAACCCCAACTCTGTAGACCAGTAGAAAGCCCCATCTTTCTCCTGTGGAGCTGACTGATGCTTTTAAACTGCTGATATTGCAGTTAGCAGTCCAACTCAAAGCCACGATGCCACCAGTTCTCCTGATAGTCCATGATCTTTTCAATAGCCTTTGCCAACACCATAATTAAAATGCATCAATTCTTCTGCAGTCTTCCTTATTTATTGTCCTCCCAGGTTCATGTGCGTATGCAGCGATTAACAATACCATGGCTTGGGTCAGGGGCACCTTATTCCCTAAAGTGACATCTTTGTTGAACACATGCAAGAGGGCAGTGGACCCCAGAAGTAGATCTGCCCATTGTAATACGTCATTTGATTTTCTGACTTCTGCTCCCACGAGTACTGCTTGTGGTTCCAAATAAAATGAAATTCTGACAATGTTCTCTACTTGTCATGATGTCACCTACGGGTCCAGGTGTGAGGATTTTGTTACACTGAGTTGCCATCTATTCTGAAGGCTGTGGTCTTTGAGCATCAGCAGGCAATGCTTCAAGCCCTCTTCACTTTCAGTAAGCAAGGCTGTGTGAGCTGCATATCGCACGTTGTTAAGGAGTCTTCCTCCAATCCGGATGCTGAGTTCATACAGTCTAGATCCTCAGATTATTAGTTCATCATACAGATCAAAGAAGTATGGTGAAAGGATACTACCATAATGCAAGCCTTTCCTGGTTTTAAACCATTCTGTCTCCCCTTGTTCTGTTTGAATGGCTGCCTCTTGGGGTGTGTGTGTGTACACGTTCTGCATAAGTGCAAGGAAGCTTTCTGGATCATTCTAGTGGGAGAGGGGGCCATCCGAGAGGTCGGACTGAAGGGTGTTAGAGACCTATCATGAAGGATGAAGGTCTAGGGTGGGAACCGCCCCTCTACAGGACAGTCAGGGATCCCAGCTCCACTGTTGCTCCCATCTTCCAGAAAAATGGCAGGAGGAATTAATTCCACCTCCCCAAACCTACACCAAACCAAACTCACGGCCACTGAGTCAATTCCCCCTCACAGGGTCCCCAGAGGACAGGATAGAACTGCCCCTGTGAGTTTCTGAGACTGTAACTCTTTACAGGGGGAGAAAGCCTCATCTTTGTTCTCTGGAGCAACCGGCGATTTCAAACTGCTGACCTTGGAGTTAGTAGCCCAACACAGAACCTCTACGCCACCAGGTCTCCAGGTCCCAAGGAGACCATTTTATGGCTGAGAAAATGATGTATCAGTTACCATTGCATCTGTTGGGACTCACGGTGACCCCATGTGGGTCAGAGCGGAACAGTGCTCCACCGGGTTTTTAGTGACTGCTTGGAAATAGGTGCCTTTGGGCAGATTGGAACTGCCAACCTTTCTGCTAGCAACAGAGTCTGTTACCTGTTTGTGCCACTGCTGGAGAAATTAGATTGAGAGAATCCAAATGATCTCCTTGAGGCAGTGCTCGTGGGTGGTTGTTGGACAGGTTTGCCCCCATAGTCTTCAGGTGCTTCCTCACAATCCCCCCACTAAGGTCCACTACTTAGCCAGGGGATCCACCAAACGTTGCTCAGAGGGATCCGTCATAGAGAGACTGTTTCTAGGTTTGTGGAAGATTTTCTGCTTTTAAAACCACACTCCTGCTTGTCAACCCCAGTCTCTCTTCTCCCCTAGGGCTCAGCCAGGCAGGCAAGACCCTTCTGACACTTGCTCCCCTCCCAGCGATCACATGGTCCCCTGTCCAGCAAGTCTGTGAGGTCCAGAGCCAAGGCCTGTCCTAACTCCTTTTGCTGGCCTTAAGCTGCCTTAAACTTGAGAAATAGTAAGTGTTAAAGCAGAAACATTCTCAAAGGACTGGACCAGACCCTTCGGTTCATGGAAGACCTGACAGAGAAGGTGCATATCTGGGGTCCCAGATGAAATGTAGGGAGTCACCAGATAGACGGGCGGGAATGGTGTGCGCACTGAGGCCTGGGGGAGCATGGGGATGCTCTGGTACGCACAGATGGTCCAGGGACATGCCCGCACAGGGGTCTGTTGGGGAGATGGCATCTCCGGAGGGTTATTTCTTTTAAACCTCTTATCCTCCACACCATCACTAGTTCAGTGTGATTCTAAAACAATGTATTCATTTATCCAAATATTTTAACGTAGACCCTGGGGTCTGTAGAGATGAACGATACTCAGCTGCT